CGAAGAGTCACAGCCGCACCCAGGAGCAGGTGCGGATGAAAATCAAGGAGCTGCAGCAGGCGTCTGCCAGGACCACAGGGGCAGCTCCCAACCAGGGGCAGACCCAGCCCCCTGCCCCTATTTTGATGCCATGGACCACATCCTGGGGGGCAGGATGGTCCCTGCCCCCCAGGTGGTCATTGACCCTGGGGCAGAGCTTGCTGCCTCCTGCTGCTCTAGCCACTGCTGCCTCCCCAGCTACTGCTCCTCCTCCCCCTCCCCAGCTACTGCTCCTCCTCCCACTCCTTCTCCCCCTCCTGCTTCTTCCTCCCCACTCTATCTATACCCCCCAGGGACGCCGAGGCTCCCTCACCCATGCTACTGGGAGACAGTTGGGCCAGCAAGACCCCCAACCTTGAGCCCTGAGCTTCTCCTCCCCCTTCCTCCCTTTGCCTCCCCCTGCCAGCTCCCTCCTCCCTGGTTTCCCCCTCCCCTTTTCCACCCTGTCTCCTCTCCCTCCCATCTTCTTTCCCCAGTCTCACCTCAGTTTCATCCTCCCCCCCCCAGTTTTGTTCAATAAAGAGGCTTTGTTGTAACAAACACATGTGTCTTATTGTACAGCAGGGATTGGGATTAGGGAGGGATAAGTGGCCAGTGGGGCACACCAGGGAGACTGTTACTGCCTGCAGAACATGCTACCGGGCTCGAAGCAACACAACCAGGAGAAGTACCACGGGGCCCTGGGGCGGCTCCGGCTCCATGCTGCAGAGTGCTGTGGTGTCCTGAGTGAGGGCAACCAGAGCACACAGAGAAAAAAATGCTTTGCTGTCCCTCAGCGAGGTAGGCAAGCAAGCAGGGAAACCTTAGAATCAGCTGTCTGGGGTGGGTCCCTTTAAGCACAGGTCCAAGATACCTTGTGTGGCTGCTGCCTGAGGCTAACTCCTGACCTGATGCCCTGCCAGAACCGGTTCCGACCGGCCTTAAGTGTGATTCAGCGTCTATCAGTGGACGCGCTATTTCGAAATGCATTTTGTGTCTACATGCGTTATTTCGCAATGGCGGCACATAGAGCCACGTTCTTCTCCACAGCATGCGTGGTCCCGAAATGGGGGCACCCAGAGTAGGAGGTTCATGTGTATCCCATCCCAGGCCTCCAGCCTTCTGCCGCTCATGTCATGGGAGACCCTGGCCCACGCTTCTGGCACCGTGTATTTTCTATCCTGTGTAATGCCTTCTGCCTTTGATTTATCTATCTATTTATCTATCTAAAAAATTTTTTTGCAGCCAAGCAACTGCTCCGAGAAGCCCGTCTGTGTCTCATGGGAAACCACAGCACAGGGTGGCAGCTGGTCTCCGGCAGGGTGCAGGATCCTGAGCTCCAACGCCACCCACACCACGTGCATCTGCAACCATGTCTCCAGCCTGGCCGTCCTCATGGCATGTGGGGAGATAATGGTAAAGGGACGGCGCTCGCTTTGCTGGGGGAGCTTTGCTGGGGGAGCTGGGCATCCTCTTGGCAAAGTCTGAATGAGGTAAAGGAGGTAGCAGGGCAAGGTAGAGACTCACTGCTCTGTCCTCAGTAGAGAGCTACTGCTGTCTCTGAGGGAGAAAAGCCTCTACCCAAGCCAGGCAGCTGCCTGTTCAGAGCCCTGTTCAGAGCCCTGAGTCCCTGGCTGGGGGGGCTTATTAAGCAGCTGCAAGTCTGTGCTGCTGGGCGACTTTGAGGGACCTTGTAGGATAGGGGTGGCCAACCCATTAAACGAAGAGAGCCAAAACTGTGGCAGAAAAAATGCAAAGAGCCGCCAAAAAAAAAAAAAAAAAGACACTGCCCCTTTAAAACAAACACGTGTTAGACTTTTTGGCCACATCAGGCTCCCACCGGCCAACACTTTTTTGCCACAACAGATGGCTCCCCTGTGCCTGGTGAGCTCAAGGAGCCGGGGGCTGTTTGTAGGGGCGCATGGGGCAGATATGTGACCTGCGGGAAGGCTTCATGAGCAGCACTTTCAGGTGTGCAGAGCCGCATGCGGCTTGTGAACTGCAGGTTGGCCACCCCTGTTGTAGGAGGGTGGATAAAAATCAATGCTTTTTAAAAAAACTATTTCTCATTGAAAAATAAATTACAATTAACTGTGCTCACAAACGTGCTACACCTACCTACAGTCTCATAAAAATTATTTAGTGGCTCTAGTCTGTCCAGCCTAACAACCAGCTCTGGCTGCTTAATTTCTTCAAAGCGTTTTCCCTAGCGGTGCCCGTAGCGCCGGCAGGGCGCCCCCTAGAGTGGCGCCGTTATAGCGGAGCAAAAGTACCCCTGCTGGTGCTCCCCCTCTTCAGTTCCTTCTTACCACCCGTGACCGTCGTTGGAGCGTCTCTCTCTCAGATTAGTTAATGGTTCCCGTTTCTCTTAGTGTAGTGTTTGAAAATAGTTGTAAATAGTTTTAATTAGGTAGTTAGTGAGTTCTTTGTTTTCCTTCTCCCTTTGGGGGTGAGGAATGCAAGGGCCGCAAGGTTTTAAGGCTTGCCCAGCATGTGCGAAGTTCATACCTAAGGGAGACCTTCATGATAGCTGCTTAAAGTGTTTGGGTGAGAGCCACTTAGCAAATGCTTGTAAGATCTGCAGGTCATTCAAGCCGCGCATGAAGAGGGAGTGAGACTCGCGCTTGAAGCTTCTCCTCATGGAGGTGGCTCTTCAACCGGCACCGACTGGCTACTCCATGGTGTGCAGCGCGCTGGCATCGACGTGGGATGCCCCATCCCGTGCGCGGACTTCGGTACAGAGGGCTCGGCAGCGTTCTCACTCCCTGGCACCAAAGAAACTAAAGGCTTCGCGGGGTAGGTCTCCAAGCCGGAAGTCCAGGTCAAGCCTACACCGTCGCAGCATGTCGCCGGTGCACACGTCTCCAAGTGCTGCTGTGTGGCGGAAGTGAGTGGGCCGACCATCCAGTCCGAGTCAGCTTCCCTCATCTCGTCCCTCGATGCCGGAGACTTTTGAGGCGGCACAGGACTTGATTAGCCTCACTACCTCCCCTCTGTTGTCTGTTGAGGTGGAGAGGTCAAGGTCTTCTACGCCGGGAACCATGTTGGCACCGGTTTCTCCTCCACACCAATAGGAACAGTCAGCACCGGTCACGTATGCAGCGGGACCATCTCCTGTGAGACCAGTACCACTTGTCTCTATGTCGTTGCCGGACTCGGCACAGGCTGCCAGGCCTTACCCAGTGCTTGGCTGGACTCAACCTCCCTCAGTGCTGGGACCTCTCCTGGAGTCAGTCTTAGCTGCGCTGGTGCCGTATTACTCAAGCCATGTGGTACCATCAACAGCACCGTCAGCAGTACCGGCGCCGGGCCTCTTGCCCAGGGTGCAGGTACAGTCATCGGCACCGCCCTCTTTGGCATTGCTGCAAGTTTTGGCACTGCTGCAAGTTTTGGCACCGACTCTAGTACCAGCATCGGCCCCATGGGCCATGACGGTACCACCATTGCTGCCGCCGCCAATTCCTTCTAGGGCGGCCACCACAGCTCCGGCGCCATCAGTTCTACCCACCTCTGGGGCAGTTGGACTCTGCAGTTCAGCATCCGCAACTGGCACCGACCTTGGCACCTTGGTCCATGTGCACCGTGTCGGCGCTGCAGTTGGGCCTGAAACCTGTCTTTCCGGTACAGGCACTAGTACGACCTCACCACAAGCATGCGGGCAAGCTGGAATCCATGGCCAGGTTTGCCCCCCGGATGGTAACAGGGTACTCGTCATCAGTGCCACCCTGGCCCAAGTCTGATTATTCTTCAGATTCGGAAGTCGTCTCTTTCAGATTGGGGTCCTCGAGGGCTTCGTCGGAGCATAGATCCCATTCCCAGCACCAGCACGATCATTCGCATGTGCAACAGACTTGGCCGCCTCAGCCACACTGGCCTTTCTGGACACTGTGGGCATACCATCAGTGGCAAGGGCCTGTGCCCCTGTCCGCTGTGTCCAGTGTCTCCGGGCACCGAGAGCTCCCGTCGGTATTGCTGTCGTGACCCCCTCCCTCGCCTCAAAGGACTGCAACCATAGATGCTGCTAAAGACCCACAGGCTTCAGTGCCGGAGCCACTTCCACACACGGTAGTGTTTGCCCAGACGGCCCTTCAGCCAGGCCCTACGCTGGATCCAGTGCCAATTCAGGAGACGTCGTCGTCGTCTCCTGGTGAGGCCTTAGCAGATCCTGCACCCACGATGCCGACCATGGATGCTCAGTCGCATCAGGATTTGTTCTGGCATCTGGCCTCCAACCTGGGTGTCCCAGTGGAGCCAGTAGTAGAGGACACGGATCCGATGATAGACATCCTGTCCAACGATGCGCCCGCCCATTTGGCTTTTCCACTCAACAAAACTGTGGCTAAGATCACAAATGCCCTGTGGTAGACCCCGGCCTCCTTAACCCCTACCTTAAAGAGAGTTGAGAGGCGCTATTATGTGCCACAGTAGGGACACGAGCACCTGTATTCCCAGCCTGTCCTGGGGTCCTTGGACGTCCAAGCCGTGGCTGAGAAGGAGAGGCTTCCTCAGCCGGGGCCGTCCGCGAAGATTAGGGAACCCAAATGCCTCAATTTAATGGGGCGTAAGGTGTGTGCCACCGGTGGGTGCAACTCTGCATCGCTAACCAGCAGGCAATGCTAAGTCGATACGCCTATAACACGTGGCAGCTGATGGATAAGTTCAATGATAAACTGCCCGCCCAGGCACGTCAAGAGTTTGGGGTTATGACCACAGAGGGCAGAACTATCACCTGCATGGCTCTTCAGGCTTCCCTGGACGCCATAGACTCTGCAGCCCACACCATGACGTTGGGTAAAGTTATGTGCCATGGTGCTTGACTGCGTTCAAAGACATGAGGTTGACACTCTTGTCAACTCTTTCGAGGTTGACTCTCTGGATCCACACACCGGCTCCTCAGCAACGTCAGCTTCCCTACAGACAACAGGGGAGAACGCAGTCCCAGGTCCCCCATGGGGATTACTGGAGATGCCATCCTCGTGCTCCCAGTGGGGTTGCGGGGGTGGCTGCGGCCCCGTCTTCGTCCAGGGCTCGTCGTCGCTGCCCGAGAGGGGACAACCCCCGTGGGGTTAGATAGGGCTCCTCTCAACAGTCCAAGCACCCATTTTGATGGTCCTCTAGAAAGTTGCGCACCAGTTTCCCTCCCGGCCCCCTGTTTGGGGCCAGGTTATCCCACTTTGCCCATGCCTGGGCAGAAATCACCAGCGACACTTGGGTTCTGAGAATAGTCAGGGATTGCTATATTATCTCTTTCTTGGGCTCGCCCCCTTCCAATCTGCCCGCCCCGTCCCTTTTCAGGGACACCTCTCACGAAGGCATCCTCCGCCAGGAGGTGTTCGCGCTCCTCCAAAAGGGAGCGGTGGAGAGGGTTCCTTCACATTTACAGGACAAGGGGTTTTATTCCCAGTATTTTATTGTCCCAAAACCCAAGGGTGGGGTTCGTTCCATTCTAGACCTCAGGGATCTCAACAAGATGGTGGTGAAATCCAATTTCAGAATGGTAACCCTGGCCTCTGTCATCCCAGTGTTACAGTTAGGGGACTGGTACGCAACTCTCAATCTCAAGGACGCTTACTTCCATGTGGCAATAAGACCCAGCCACAGGAGGTTTCTCCACTTCACAGTGTCCCGCTGTCACTTCCAGTTTAGGGTGCTCCCCTTTGGACTTTTGACAGCACCCAGGGTCTTCACAAAACGCATGTCAGTCGTAGCGGCGTTCCTCCGCAAAAAGGGGGTACACGTCTTTCCGTACCTAGATGACTGGCTAATTCGTAGTCGATCCTATGAGCAAGGGGAGGCTCATGTTTCCCTTACAAAGATTCTCTTCTTACGACTAGGCCTCATGCCGACTTAGGAAAAGTCATCACTGATTCACTCTCAGTGCCTAGAATTCGTGGGGGCCCTCTTGGATGCCAGGGTGATGCGAGCATTCCTCCCCAGGAACAGATTTCTGGCTATAGTGGAGCTGGTCTCCGAGTTAACCCGGTTCCCCATTACAACCACCCGAGTCTGCTCGAGGCTCCTCGGACACATGGCGGCTTGCAGTTATGTAGTACGCCACTCCCGAATGAGACTCAGACCGTTGCACGATCGTTACCGAAGACGTTTGACCAGTCCAGGGGTCTCTGGGACATGGTACTGATGATGCCTCCAGCGGTAATTGCCTCCTTACAGTAGTGGACTCAGGAGGCTGTGGTGTGCAGTGGGGTTCCATTCTGGGTTGCTTTTTGCCCTGTGGCATGGTACCCAGGGCCGTCCTTACCCTAACACAGAGCACACAGCAGCATAGGGCACCTGAAAATTTGGGGGCACCAGTGGATCTTAATGCTCCCCCCTTCTCTGGTCTGTGGCTCTGCCCCCTCCAGAGAGGATCCCCTTAACTTAAAAGTGAACAAGCCTGCCAGAGCTATTAGTAGAACATTGATCCTGTGAGAGCCATTCGGGTGCTAATGAAGCCATTGAACAGGCATTTGCCAGCCCCAGGTTCATCCTGTCAGTTTCTGATTTCACTGTGTTAGTGGAGGGGACCTTAGTTTAAAATTTGCTTTAAACCTGTTTCATTCGTGTTGCTGAAGGTCATAAAATCACATCTGTAAAAAATCATCCCCCGGCTGTTGTCGGGGTTTAGGGCACCAGTTTGATAGTCCTGGCCAGGGCCCATAAATCCTAAGGAAGGTCCTGATGGAATCCTCTCGGCTCCCAGAGCCCCATGGTTAAAACAAAGGCCCCTGTAGAGTTATTCACACCTCAGCCTGCGCTCCCCAGTAAGGGCAGTGACAGTCCATCCTGGGCAGGAATCAGGGGGATGACTCATGACCTCATCTGCATTAACTGTGCTGCATGGGATGACTCATGACCTCCTAACCTGCCATCTGCCCTGCTTCCAAAACAGGCAGATTTCCTGCTATTCCTCATCACCCACGTCGGACTGGCCCTCTCCCTGCTGTGCCTCCTCCTCGCCATCCTCACCTTCCTCCTGTGCCGCTCCATCCGCAACGTCAACACCTCCATCCACCTGCAGCTCTGCCTCTGCCTCTTTGTGGCCGATCTCCTCTTCCTCACAGCGGTGGACCGCACCAGGCATCAGGTAAAGCCCTCCCTACCCCAACATAGCCCTTCAGGTAGCAGGAAGTGTGGCCTGGAGGTTAGAGCACTATATGGAGACCTGGGCTCTAGTCCTTGCTTTCCTGTTTGTGACATTGAGCCAGTCACCTCCCTGCCTGGTGCCCCAGTTTTCCCATCTGTAAAACAGGGGTAGTGATCTTCACCTTCTTTGAAGAGTGAGAGATTTTTGTGTATGTGGCTAGTGGTTTGTTGGGCATATGGCTAACTTTGAAGGCAAAGAAAAGACCCTGGACAAACCCCTTCTCACAAGGGTAGTTCCTGATCTGGGGGGCGGGGAGGAGGATGTTGGCAATCAGTGTCAAGTGAAGTGCCCCAAGGATCGGTCCTTGGTTTTCTTCAACATCTTTATTAATGACTTGGAAGAGAGGATGGATTGCACCCTCAGCAAGTTCACAGTTTACGGATGATACTAAGCCGGGGTGGCCCGTGAGCCTAGGAAGACTCAGCGGTTGCCTGATGATGACGTCAGGGCACCTGGGCACCTGATGATTATGTCACGGCCATTGGCGGCTGTGCAGGCGGGGGCACCGATCGTGCCTTTTGTCTGGGGCACCATCTGTCACAGGTGGCCTCGGGCCACTCCTGTACTAAGCTACGGGGAGAAGAAGATACATTGGAGGGTAGACAAATTGGAGGATTGGGCCAAAAGAAATCTGATATGGTACAACAAGGCAAGTGCAGAGTCCTGCCCCTTGGGACAGAAGAATCGTAAGCACTGCTACAGGCTGGGGACCGACTGGCTAAGCATCTGTTAAGCAGAAAAGGACCTGTAAATTACAGTAGATGAGAAGCTGGCTATGAATTAACAGTGGGCCCTTGTAGCCAAAAAGGCTCTAGGGAATTGATTATTCCCCTTTGTTTTGCACTGGTGAGGCCACATCTGGAATATTAAGAGTCATTTTGGGCTCCCCATTAGAGAAAGAATGTGGACGCTTTGGAGAGAGTCCAGCGGAGAGCATCAAACATGATGAGGGGGCTGGAGCACATGATTTACAAGAAGAGGCTGAGGGATTTGGGTGGATTAGTCTACAGAAGAGAAAAGGGAGGGGGGATTTGATAGCAGCCTTTAACTACCTGAACAGAGATTCAAAAGAGGATGGAGAGAGGCTGTTCTCAGTAGTGACAGATGGCAGAACAAGGAGCAATGGTCTCAAGTTGCAGTAGGAACAACAGTCTCAAGTCACAATGGGGGAGGTCTAGGTTGATTAACGGGAAAACCTATTTCCTTAGGAGGGTGGGGAAGCACTGGGATAGATTCCCTAGAGAGGTGGTTGAGTCTCTGTCCTAAAAGGCTTTTAAGTCCCAGCTAGACAAAGCCCTGGCTGGCATAGTATAGTTTGGGTTGGTCCTGGTTTGGGTAGGGGACACCTGGTTTGGGTAGAGGACACCTGGTTTGCCTAAGGACAGCCCTGGGTCTAGCCCCGGGATGCTCAGTAGAGACTATTAAGTGAAAGATGTGCCACCACTGTTCTCCCCAGGTGGGCTGTGCCGTCATTGCCGGCTTCCTGCACTACCTCTTCCTGGCCTGTTTCGCCTGGATGTTCCTGGAGGCCGTGGTGCTCCTCCTCACCGTGCGCAACCTCGGAGTCGTCAACAATTTCCACACCCACAGTCCCAAGATTTGGTTCCTGAGCCTCTTCGGCTACGGATTCCCCACTCTGGTGGTGGCTGTCTCTGCCACCCTCATGCCAAAGGCTTACAGCAGGCAGGAGAAGTGAGTGCCAGAGCTGCTGGAGCATGGACAGGATGGTGTCGAGGGTAGGGAAGACCCAGGTTTTGTTCCCAGGCTTGACCCCAAGCAAGCCATTTAACTGCTCTATGCCTCTGTTACCCCATATGGCAAGTTGCCTCAATCTTGAATCTATTTTGCATCAAATTTTCTGGAGCCGTGTGATAGAAAATTGACTAAAGATTTTTTAAATGCTGCAATAAAGGGGTCTTATAAGTCCACTGAAGAGTAGGCGGTTAGCCAACAGGAGCCTCGCTGACTTAATCTTATGCTGCCTGAGTGGGAAAAGGCGCTGTCTGAATGGGAAAAGGGGAGTGAAGAGGATCAGTCCAATCTTATGCCAGCGCTGTGTGCACCTGCATGTGTCCTGGCATTCCCCAGTGAAAAGTGCCCTGCACCAGCGGGTGTCTGTCTTGACAGCTGTGCTGCTGACTCTCTTCATGAGTGAATGAATCAACTTCTAGCCTCTACTCGACTGAGGCACACAGAACCCCTGATTCTGTTTCTCGCTCTGTGACTAGCCTCTGTGGGTGGCCTTGACTAAAGTTAATAGATTCTATGGCTAGAAGAACCATGTGTCTGACTTCCTGTATGACAGAGACCAGAGAACTGCCCCAAAATGTGTCACAGCCCCCTTCTCTGCCTCAGTTTCCACCTCCCCCGTCTTACTGATCCTGTTGCGACTGGCACAATCTAAACAGGACACTCTCTGTGACTGTGCCCAGTGGGGCCCCTGTCCCTTAGGTTAGCATGACATCAGTGGTAAATGCTGGGCCTGGCTGCTATTGACCAATGAACATCACTTTAAATTTTTGTGTTTCCAGCTGCTGGCTCAGCATGGAGAGGGGGTTCATCTGGAGTTTCCTGGGGCCGGTGTGTGTCATTGTGGGGGTAGGTATCCACTGCGGCTTGGTGCTGCTGCCTGCCTCAGCAAGGTTTGGAGCTTTGCCTGGTTTCCGTGGGTCCCTGTAAAGGGGCAGAACTCACCTCTCCTCAGTTTCCCCCTTGGCTGAGTGCACTTGCCTCAGCTTTGTCCTTTTAAAAGCCTTTTGGCAGCTCAGTCCTCCAGCCAAGTCACTCCCCATGTGACTCAAACCCCTCCCAGGATACACATTTAACAGGGACCCACGTCCTTGCCCTCTGCTCGCCTCCCTCTTAGTCTGAGTCTGTTTCTCCACTCCCAGACAGCAGTGCTGCAAGGGCTTCCCCTCCTGGGGACAATAATAATATAACATATGGAGATAGACCATCTCATAGAGCCGGGAGGGACCTTGAGAGGTCATCTAGTCCAGTCCCCTGCCCTCATAGCCAGGACAAATACCATCCCTGATAGATTTTCCCCAGAGCCCTACATGGCCTTTTCAAGGACTGAACTGATAATTCTGGGTTTACCAAACCAATACTCAAGCCACTGAGCTATCCCTCCCCCAATAGCTTTGCACAGGTAGCAGGGCCCATCATAATCCAACTTCAATAGCTCCCCACACTGAGCTGTCCATGGTGCTGCCACTCTCACTGCCAGCCAGTCCTGTCTGCACATCTCAGGGCACCAGAGACACTGACTGCTGTTCTGGTCTCCACCTGCTGTTATGGGCCTTCCTGGCACCTGATTGGCTGGTTTCTCCTACAGGCACTCTAGCCTGCTTGGAGGACTTCTATGTGGCTTCTCTTCTGGGGCAGGGTGTGTCAAGGCCAAAAGCCATCAGTAGAGGGGTTTAGAGCCTGGTCCCATCCTGTCCCAGTCATCCCCTGGTTTAATGCTATAGACCTCAAAGGAGTCTATGCCCAGGAGGGTTTTGGCTCAGTAGGAAATGGAGTGATAAGAGCTCCCAGCTCTAGCCTGTGAAAGCCAGCTTGTGTGATGAGGCTTAGCACACGTCCCCTTGGGACATCCAGTTCTTGTTCAAGTGGTTGCTCATGTCTATTCGAATTAGGTGTGCACACCGCTTGCACCACGTCTTCCGGAGCGTTTTCCCTAGCGGTACCCGTAGCGCCGGCATGGTGCCCCCTGGAGTGGTGCTGCCATGGTGGGGCATAAGTACCCCTGCTGGCGCTCCTCCACCTCAGTTCCTTCTTCCCGCCCGTGACAGTCGTTGGAGTGTGTCTCTCTGTTAGAGCAGTTAATGGTTCCCGTTTCTCTTAGTGCTGTAGATAGTTCTAAATAGTTCACATTAGTTAGATAGTTAGTAGTTCTTCGTTTTTCTTCTCCCCCTTCGGGGGTGAGGAATGCCAGGGCCGCAAGGCTTTAAGGCGTGTGCTGTGTGCGCGAAGTTTATGCCCAAAGGAGACCCTCACGATAGTTGTCTGAAGTGTCTGGGTGAGGGCCACCTAAAAGACACCTGTAAGATCTTCAGGTTGTTTAAGCCGTGCACTAAGAGGGAGAGGGACTCTCGTTTAAGCCTCTCCTCATGAAGGTGGCTTTACAGACAGCACCGAATGGACACTCTGCGGTGCGTAGTGTGCTGGCGTCAACGCGCGACGCTCCATCTCGCGAGCAGCCCTCGGTACCGAGGGCTCATCACCATTCTCACTCCCTGGCACCAAAGAGGTCAAGAACGTCCCATGGTAGGTCTCCAAACCAGAAATCCAAGTCAGGCCTACACCGCAGTACTGGGTCTCCGGGGCACACGTCCTCGACTACCACTGTGCAGCGTAAGCGAGAGAGATGGCCATCCAGTCCGGGTCAGCTGCCCTCGCATCGTACCTCCGCGCCAAACACTTTTGAGGCAGCGCAGGATCTCATTAGCCTCACTACCTCCCCTCCATTGTCGGTTGAGGCTGAGAGGTCGAGGTCGCCTACGCCGGAGGCTGTGTTGGTACCGGCGTCACCTCCACCAGTCGCTTATGCTGTGGGACCAGTACCGCTTGCCTCTACCTCAGTGCCAGCCTCGATGCAGGCCGCCAGGCTTCACCTGGTGCTCGATTGGGCTTGACCCCCCTCGGGTGCTGGGACCTCTTCCAGACCTTGTCTTGGCTGCACCGGTGTCATATCACCCAAGCCTTGCGGCACCATCATCGGTACCAGCGCAGAGCAGCTTTCCTGCAGTGCCGCCCCTGTCTTCGGCACCGGGCTCTTTGAAAACAAGCTCTTCGGCACTGATGCAAGTTCCAGCTCCGGGCTCTTCGGCACCGATACAGGTTTCGGCACTGATACAGGCACCGGCATCGGCCCCATGGGCCATGCCAGTACCGCCATCGCCAGTAACACTGATCCTTTCGTCTCTGCAACTCTAGTGCCTTTGTCCCAGCCTGCGGTAGAGTCTGCGGGAATAGTGATGGCCCTGATGCCAGAAGGACAGCCAGCTTTCAGGGCTCCGCAACTGGCACCGACTTTGACAGCACAGCCATGCACCGTGTCGGCACCACAACTGGCACCGGGACCTGTTTTCCCGGCACTGGCACTGGCACTGGCACACATGTGGGCAAACCCGAGTCTATGGCCAGGTTTGCTCCCCCATTGGTGGCACGGCATTCGTCATCTGCACCCCCCTGGCCTGAGTCTGATTACTCATCGGATTCTGATGTGGCCTTGTTCAGATCAGAGTCCTCGGGAGCTTCCTCTCATAATAGATCCCGTTCCCGGCACCGGCATGATCGTCCGCATGTGCAGCAGACTTGGCCACTGCAACCACAATGGCCCTTCTAGACGCCGTGGGCATACCACCAGTGGCAGGGGCCTGTGCCTCCCTCCGTGGTGTCTGGTGTTTCGGAGCACCGAGTGCCACCGTCAGCATTG